CTTTTTTGAGCAAGCAATTCCGGACTGTCTTGATTAGGTGAGGAGGATCAGAAAAACAATAAATATATCTATGACAATATTATAGATGCATAATGGCTATAATACAAGTATACCTTTTCTCTTCGGCATGTATATTAAGAATCTTGTATACGAGCTTATCTGACAGGTCATGTAGGGCCACCAATCTCCTGTTAACGGAAGCCCCATCAAATGTAGTTGCAATAACCTGAATAATAATTATGATTGCATTATCTGAACATGTACCAACATTAGATATATTACCTTGAATCCGATACGCTCCAATCTAAATACAGCTTCCCAAAATAAAGGAAATAGTTGCTCACCAACCAAACTCACACAGGGGAATTGTGCATAAGGAAATTTAAGAAAAGTAAATAATCCCTTTACCATGAAAGAAACCATAGATTTGGCTAAAGGTGGTGGGGTGTTCTCGGAGTCTAAAGACTTCTCAAAACGCATCAGATGATTATTGATATCCCCTATGTCTGTGAACCCTACCAATTTACCTGTATGCTTATTGTACACAAGATCTTCTCGAATATGCATTTCGTCAATAAGAACTACAATTAGATTGTGATACTTGGCTGAGGTCATCAGTTTAGATGCCAGAAGCAGTTGGTTATCAACTTGAGATGAAAAGCCAGCCTCAGCCTTAACGGCATTTGAATAATCCCTTAATGTGCGCTGGGAAGGGAGTGCTATACAGCCAGAGTCTCGGATCGTTTCATAGGCTTTACTAGATTGGTGCCTCAAATATATACACCATCTGAGAATCATTGGATGCCAGCGAACACCATTCTTCTTTGAGCCTGTCTTAGATAGAGCTAGCTTCTGTTGATTCCAGAACAATGACTGAAATGAATCATCTGAGAACTTCTCTGCGATATTAAATTCTTCCTGCTCCATAATCTTCTCAAAATCCAGTGAGGTTTCTTCATCTACAACAACACTATCTGTTTCTATTGCCTTTTCAAGCTTCGTCTGTAAGCGTCTCACTTTAACTGTAAGTGCACGGTTCTTTTTGTGAAGCCCATGCAGACGCGTAACCATTTCTTCTCTTGACAAATGACAATAATTAACATGGCTGGAAGGGTCGCTTGCATCTTTAGATGAATGTTTCTCTAATCTGGAAGCATATCTATGTAATGATGACCTATAAAATGGCGTATGAAAATAATACAATATGTTTTTACATGATGTACATGTATATGTACATTCAAGTATATATACCTATACTCAT